TGGGGTACCTGATCCCTTAGAGCTATGGTGTAAGGTAGCATTTCTGGGGAAGGGTGGGTGTGGCCTTTCTGAGGACAACAGTGATGGAAGCTTCTGGAACACCTTTACCCTCGACAACAGGAACTCCAGGCACTGGATCTTGCTTCATTCCTCAGAACTTGACATCCTTTAAGAATTCCACCAAGTCCTGGGTGGGCTTCTCGGGTGGCCAGCACCATACAGTCTGCATGGATTCGGAAGGTAGGTCGCCCAAGTCCTTCTGCATGGGACACAGTCGTCCCTGACACAGCCAGTGTCCTAGGATTATGATTTGGACCAGACATAGATTGCATCTGTGAGGGTTATCCTGGTACTTCAGAGTGGGAGCACCATGGGGGTTGTGTAGAGCATCTTGTAGCTCCCACCCCCAGATGGAGAAAAGGCCCTGAGACCTCACCACCTGAGATCTGACCCTCAAGAGCATGGCACTCAGTCAGTGTGCTGTCCATTTTACTTGGAATACGCCCCTGCTGATGCTCACCTTCTTACCCCACAGGAAAAGCATACAGCCTGGGCAGAGCTGAGTACGGGCGGCTAGGCCTTGGGGAGGGTGCTGAGGAGAAGAGTACACCCACCCTCATTTCCCGGCTGCCCGTCATCTCCTCAGTGGCCTGTGGGGCTTCTGTGGGCTATGCTGTGTCCAAGGATGGTGAGTAGGGCTCCTCAGGTCTGGTATGGTTGGAGCCCGGGGAGCACGATTCCTAGCATATTCCTCAGGTTGTCTTGGAGATGACTCTGCTTTGACACTGACTCTCAGGAACCCTGGAGTATTTTTGCTATTTTGTTTTGGTGTTTTGATTTTGAAACGGGGTCTCTCTCACCATGTAGACCAGGCTGGCCTGGAACTCAGAGATTCGCCTGTCCCTATCTCTGCCTCCACCTTGAATGGAACGGGTGTGCCATCATGCTGGACTTAATATAACGAGTCTTTTTTTTGCTCTGCCAGCCAGTTCTCAAATAATGGCACAGAGACTTTTTATTAATTATGAAAGCTTGGCCTATAGCTTAGGCTTGTTTCTAACTAGCTGTTATAACTTAAATTTACCCATTAATAGTCTACATTCTTTCACATGGTGTGACATCTCTTTTATCTTGTACCTCCTATTTTCTCTGCGTTTATCCTGGCACCCTCTTCCGTTCTCCCTGGAAATCTCATCTGTACCTACTGACTAGCTATTGGCTGTTCAGCTTTTTATTATGCTAATCGCTGCCATGCATCTTCACACAGTGTATAAGTATCCCACAACACATTTTTTTATGTTTATGTTGTTTTGTCTGCATATATGTATATGTACTATGTATGTGCTTGGTGCCTGCAGAGGCCAGGAGTGGGCATCAGATCCCCTGGGACTGGAATTACTGACGGTTATGAGCTGCCATGTGGGTCCTGGCTAGTCCAGCAGAAAAGGATGTGGACATATAGCAGCCAAAGCGCAGAAAGAGGTGCACAGCCAGAATTCAGGCTGGCAGCAGTGCTTATCCTTACCCGGGAGGACTTCCTCAAGAAGTGCGTTTGCACTGCAGCATTCAGTCCTGAATAGAGGTTCGGTCCTTCGTGAAAACCAGAGGCTAGGCCAGGTGTTGTGGCACACACTTTCAGTTCCAGCACTCAGGAGGCAGAGGCAAGCACATCACTTGAGTTTGAGGTTAGCTTTGTCTACTTAGTGAGTTCTAGGCTAGCCAGGGCTACATAGTGAGACCTTATCTAAAATTAAAAAAAAAAAAAACACCACCCAGAGGGTGGCATATGAAACCCAGGAGCATCTTAATTAGTCTTAAAAGCTGACTGGTTCAAGGAAGAGGGATTTAAGATGTAGCCTCCTGTGGTGCCATGCTCTGGAGTAGGGAGAATGCAGGGGGGGGGGGGGCAATCTCCTCAGTTCTTCCAAGCTCCTTTGAACTTGGGCTGGGGCCTTGCCAGACTGCTATTGGTCAAGGCCACGTATCTCTTGGTATGGCAAGGCAGGCCTGAGGACCTCAAAGACAGCTGCCTCTTTTTCTGTCCCTTCTAGGTCGTGTTTTTGCCTGGGGCATGGGCACCAACTACCAGCTGGGAACTGGGCAAGATGAAGATGTCTGGAGCCCTGTGGAAATGACTGGCAAACAGCTAGAGAACCGTGTGGTCTTAAGTGTGTCCAGCGGGGGCCAGCACACAGTCTTATTAGTTAAGGACAAGGAACAGAGCTGATGAAGTCTTTGTGGGCCTGGCTTCTGGCCCCCAATCCAGCTTCACAGAACAGGAAAACGGCCAGCGACAGATTCCAGAAGGACCCTCCCCAGCCCCGACAGCTATCATCTCCTGTCTTTTCCCATCACCACAGCAGAGCCCTTTTCTTCTGTTTCGTCCTCTTTTCTAGAATCATCCTGGAACTTGCAGGATGAGGGAGGATGGGAAGGGGGTCTCGGAAGGAACTTTGCTTACCCTAGACTTACGTCATTAGACCTTTCCCCTCACTGCTCTGCCTCCTGTGGTCGTCGTAGGCCCATTGCCTGCAGAGCCCAAAACTTCCTGCCCACACTCTGAAAAGCTGGGAACTCCATCAAGCCCCCCTTCCCCTGTGCCACTTCTTATTCCTGCCACTAGCTTCCAAGGAGACAGGTGGTGGCACAGTCGTCAGATCCAGTTGTCAAGGACCATGCCTGGGGAGATCTGGACAAAGGCTTTACAAGGCTGTGGGTGACTCTAAGCCAAAAATCTGCCTCTAAACAGGTGTCCATGGGCAAAAACAGTGGCCCATTTGAAAAAAAATCCAACTAGCTTGCCCAAAAGCACAAAGCACCCACTGTGTCTTGGGCATTGCCTGTGCATTCCCCATCCAGTCAGTCTTTCTGTCCCAGAGGACTGGAAAGCCTCGCTGGGGGCTCTGCTAGGCAGGGTATTGGGCAGGGGTGGGGTTGGAGGCCAAAGCTTGGAGGGGCAGAGGCTGGTCTTATGAAAAGGAGGTAACAGTGACTGAGAAGATAGTTTTGATTTTTTTTTTTTAATTATAAAATATTTTGGAAGGGGGAGTGAAATCTTTTAACACTTTGAATAAATTTAGAGTTTTTTTAAAGTGGGCTCTTTGTTTTATTCAGGTTCCCCAGGGTTGTTTTTTGTCCTAAAAGGAGCGCCTGCCATGTGCCAGGCATAATGAAGAGGGCAGGGTAGCATGCCTGTGGACAGTTGTCAAGGCTGTGGCCAACACAGCTGTGAGCATCCATGCGCTTGCTGAGAATTGACCCCAGGTCCTCTGGAAGAACCATTGAGCCATCTCCAGCCCCTGGGATGGGAAAGTATTTTTGTTTTGTTTTCGGCAGAAATTTACTGTGTCCCTGGCTGGTCTGGAACTCACTAGCTTTGAACTCACAAAGATCTGCCTGCCTATGCCTCCCAAGTGCTGAGATTAAAAGTGTACTACCACCAGGCTCCCAATTTACTGGACTGCTTGCATTTTCGACAGCTAGTGTCTTTGCTTAAAACTTGGGTGCTCTGTGGTAAACTTCCTGGGAAATGCTATACACACATGTCCACATACCCAAATAGGGAACCTAGAACAGACGGAATTAGATACCACCAAAATCAGCCTTGGACCCAGACCCATAGCAGAAGGGAACATGAAACTTTGGAGACCCATAGTTGGCTTGGGGATGGAAGGGCCTTAGGGCTTCTTCAGGCACTCAAGGTGGCCTTCATTGTCAGAACTGATGGCAATGCTTCCCATTTCTTTTTTTTTTTTTGGTTTTTCGAGACAGGGTTTCTCTGTGGCTTTGGAGCCTGTCCTGGAACTAGCTCTGTAGACCAGGCTGGTCTCGAACTCACAGAGATCCACCTGCCTCTGCCTCCCGAGTGGTGGGATTAAAAGCATGCGCCACCATTGCCCAGCTACTGAGGGTGTTCTTTTTTTTTTTAATTTTATCTATTGTGCATACACTTGCCAGAAGAGGCCACCAGATCTCATCACAGATGGTTGTGAGCCACCATGTAGTTGCTGGGAATTGAACTCAGGACCTCTAGAAGAGCAGACAGTGCTCTTAACCTCTGAGCCATCTCTCCAGCCCTACTGAGGGTTTTCTATAGGTAGTTTTGTCCTCTGAGGTAAGCCGTGGAGTAGAGAGTGGGAGGGGCCAGGATTGGTGTCTCCCGCTTGTAAACCTAGAAGACTGAAGTAGGAATGCCAAAAGTTACTGCAGCCCGCCTAGATTATACAGAGTGTACCAAGACAGCTTGAGCAACATAATGCCTTGCCTTAAGTCAAAAATGTAAATTAAAGCGGTAAAGCGGGCTGGAGACGTGGCTCGGGCATTAAAGAGAAAGAATGCTCTTTCAGAGGACGAGTTCATAGAGACAGAAACATAAACACTAGGCACTTTTGGGCCGGCCAGGGCTACATAAAGACGGTGCCCCCGCCCCAGATGATGGGTGAGAAGGCTTTGGTTGGATTTGGATTATTATGTGAGCAGTTCCTTAGGCCTCTCCGTTACAGGGCTTTATGAGAATGAAGAATCTCAAAAAAAAAAATCTCAAAAAAAAAAAAAAGTTTTTTCGGGCTGGAATGCAGAGCCAGAGGACATCTACGCAGGCAGCGGCTCGTCCAAGCCCCCAGAGTGGTTCCTTCACTAATTTACCTTCATGCTTATGCTCAGAATTCCCTAGAGTGCAAACCTTACCTCTTTTAATTATAGAAGTATTTACTAAGTAGCAGAGTAGCTTACTTTACCTTTTTTTTTTTTTTCTTGGTTTTTCGAGACAGGGTTTCTCTGTAGCTTTGGTGCCTGTCCTGGAACTAGCTCATGTAGACCAGGCTGGCCTCGATCTCAGAGATCCGCCTGCCTCTGCCTTCCGAGTGCTGGGATTAAAGGCGTGCGCCACCACAGCTCGGCTAGTAGTTTATTTTACTTAAGCCGCCGCCAGGCAGGCTTCCCGCGCCCCGGCCGAAGCCACGCCCCTAGCCGTCCCGGAGCCACGCCCCCACTCGCGTCGGGAACACGCCTAAAAGCCGGAAGCTGGTGAGACAAGTGAGGAAACCCGGATCGGCGCGTCTAGCCGCCGCGGCTGCGTGTGCGCAGGAGGCGTCGCTGGCGCAGACTCCGCCGACTCCGGCGGTCTCCGCTGCGCAGACGGGCGCGGGCCCAGGCCCGCACGGTCCCCGTCCGGGTGCGGGATGGCGGCCAGCCTGTGGATGGGAGACGTGAGTGAGGGCCGCGCCTGCTCCGAGAGGACCAGAGGGTCTCGAGTCCTAGGGGAGGGCGGGGCTGAGGGCCAGGGGCCTTCCGAACCCTGGAGGTGAACAGGACGGGTTCTAGGGACAAGGAAAAGCCAGGCCGGTAGTGCGGTTTGAGGCGCACGCCTTCATCCCTGCACTTGCGACAGAGGTAGGAGGCCCGCCACAAATTCGAGGCTCTGTAGCGAGTTCTAGGCTAGTTGGGGCTCCGCAGCGAGGCCCTTTCCCCTGCCCTGATAGGACAGGGAGGCTGGGCATCAGAAGGAAGAGTTATCAGGTGCAGAATCTACGGGTTACAGGTTTTGGGGTCCCCCTTTCCAATATGGCAAAGAAAAGTGGATATTGGGGGTGGAATGGGAGGACTCCCCCGAAGAATTGAGGGGCCAGAGTTCCCAAAAGGGGAGCGATTTTGTTATTGTTTTGAGATGGGGGCTCACATAGCTCTGACTGTCCTGGAACTCACTATGTAGACCAGCCCGGCCTCGAACTCACAGAGAGTTCCGCCTGCCACTAGCTCCCCAGTGCGGGGACTAAACACGGGAGCCACAGGGCCCGCAGGGGAGCCACTTGAAGTAAAGAAGTGGTTTGGAACCACAGCACCCTTCTGTGGAGAGTGTCCCGGACCGAGCGGGAGGGGCTGGACCCCTTAAGGGAGCTCCTGGAACTGAGCCTCGCTGTTCCGGTTTTCATGCAGCTGGAACCATACATGGATGAGAACTTCATCTCTAGAGCCTTTGCCACCATGGGGGAGACCGTGATGAGCGTCAAAATTATCCGAAACCGCCTCACCGGGTACATCTCCCTTTCACCTCTCCAGTCCTCCATAGAGCCTACCCATGCTGCTGTCATGCCAGAAGACGGACATCGCTGGAATCCGGGCTTCTGGCCTGGTAGTGGTCCTCAGCACACAGTACCGCAAAAGGAACATGGGGTTGGGGAGGACGCTTACTGAGCAGAAACAGCTTTCATGTTTCGGTGTCCCAGTGTTTCGGGGTAGGATGCTGGAACCTGTGTTTGAAAACTGTTGTTTGATCTTTGGTAGATCACTTGTTTGCTTCATGTAGCTTTGTTTTATTTTGAAACTTTTTTCGAGACAGGGTTTCTCTATGTAGCCCTGGCTGACCTGGAACTCGCTCTGTAAACCAGGCTGGCCTCGAACTCAGCAGTGCAGAACTCTGAACTGCTGAACTCAGCTCCCCTTTATTGACCTGAGTTGGAGATCCTGGACCTATGATACATTGTATAGACTTTTCAGATAATTAAGCTGGCTTAGTGGCACAGGCCTTTAATCCCAGCACTTGGAAGGCCAGAACATCCCAAGCTATATATAGAGACCCTTTCTCAAAAAGCCAAACGGGAAAGAAACCACAAATAATTCTCAGATAATTAATACAAATGTTAAAGAATGACCATCCTTGCCACCTCAGGCTCTCTGTCATTGGACAGGAGGGAAATAATTTCAGGTTACCTCAACTGGTTTTAAGGATGCTGTCCTCCCGGAATATTCATGTGGGAGTTGTTCTAAGACCCCCTACAGAAACCCAGACCCCTATTTATCCTCCTGTAGACAGTGCCTCTAGATGACAATACCAACACAGTGTACAGATAAAACTGTATTGTCTAGGCCAATGGTTCTCAGTCTTCCTAATGCTCCAACTGTTTAATACAGTTCTTCATGTTGTGGTGACCCCCCCAACCATAAAATTATTTTGCTACTTCATAATTGTAATTTTTCTACTGTTTTTTTGTTTGTTTGTTTGTTTGTTTGTTTGTTTTGGTTTTTTGAGACAGGGTTTTTCTGTAGCTTTGATGCCCGTCCTGGAACTAGCTCTTGTAGACCAGGCTGGCCTCGAACTCCCAGAGATCCGCCTGCCTCTGCCTCCCGAGTGCTGGGATTAAAGGCGTGCGCCACCACCGCCCGGCTAATTTTTCTACTGTTATGAATCATGTATGAATCTGATATACAAGCTATCTGACCTATGACCCCTGTGGATGGTTAGTAAATAGTTCAGGGACTATCCACATTCGCTGTCCTTGAATTAAATTTGCAAGTTGTTTCTCATCTGGAATATGGGGTGGAATAATAATCGAGGCTCTATTTGTGGTGTGGCGCATGCCTGTAACCCCAGCACTTGAGAGGCAGTGGCAGACCCATCTCTATGATGACTTTGAGGCCAGCCTGGTCTACAGAGTAAGTTCCAGGACAGCCACAGATACATAGTGAGACCTTGTCTTAATAAAAAGGAAAAAAAGAAAAGAAAACCATTTTTTCCTCTCTTCAGGCCAAGATGTACCTGGATATCTTTATCATTCTGTTTCTCTGCTTTCTTTCCAGAATCCCAGCTGGCTACTGCTTTGTGGAGTTTGCAGATTTGGCCACAGCTGAGAAGTGTTTGCATAAAATTAATGGGAAGCCCCTGCCAGGAGCCACACCTGTAAGGACATTTGGATGATGATGACCTTGCCATTTTTATTGTCCTTAATTACCACCACATATTGAATTGCTACTGGATAGTTATATCATTTTATACAATAGGTAGTATTATCTTTCTCAACCAGGAAACTGAAGCAGGGAGATACAATGATTTGCTGAAGGCAATACAGGTAGTTAGTAACAGAGCCAAGATTCAGGCAGAAGATTGATTGCCTACAAAACCCTGGCCCTTTCCACTCTGCAGTACTGCCTTCTATGACAGAAGACTCGAAAATCAGGCTGGGGGTGTAGCTCGGTGGTAGAGTACTTAACTAGCATGCCCAAGACCCTGGGCTCAATCCCCAGCTAAAAATAAAGACTTGAAACTCTAGGTCTTTTGCCTGACTGAGAATCTAGAACAGGCTGGTAGCAGCAAGAACACATCTCAAGAGAGTTACATTCTGCTCTTCCCACAGTTACTTAGCTTACAGCTGTACCAGCTGGCACACCTGGGCTCATAGAACCATGGAGCTGGCAGTGCCCTTAACGGTCAACCGTGCAACCCCTTCATTTTATACAGGAGAAAAACTGAGGCTTAGAGAGGGGGAGATGTTTTGGCCAAGGTAATTTATTTCAGTTTTTTTTTCAAATATTGTTTGACTTTTGAAAGACCCTTCTCTGTTTTAGTTTGTTCATGTGTTTTTAAATTTCCAGGCAAAACGTTTTAAACTGAATTATGCCACTTACGGGAAACAACCAGACAATAGGTAAGTAAGGAGCTGCGTCATTGTATGTCTGAGTAGAGGCACAGATGTAGTGGTGCCAGTTACTGCCAAAAGGAGGGTAGAGAACTGAATCTGACTGTAAAGACAGTACTCTCCTACTCTCTGGCCCCATCCCCCATCATGTCAGGGCCATGTCTTTCCTTCTTTGGATGTCTCTCTTTTTTTGGGGGTGGGGGGGTGGGGAGACATATCTCAGACTGGTCTCAAACTCGCTGTGTAGTCAAGGGTGACGTTAAAATTCGGATCCTCTACCTCCCAAGTGCTGTGATGAACATGTGCATGCCCAACCCCAAGTGTTTGAATGTTAGAGACACACTGTGCTGGTGATGGAGCCCAGAACTTTGGGCATGGAAGGCATCTTTAGTCACTGTTGTACTGTGAAGAGAGAACATTTAACTGGGTGCTTATGGTTTCAGAAGCTTAGTCTCTTATCGTCATGGTGGGGAGCATGGCAGAAGGCATTGCAGGCTTGGTGCTAGAGAAGTAAATGAGAGAGACCAGGTATGGCATGGGCTTTTGAAACCTTAAAGCCCACCCCCAGTTGCACACTTCCTTCAACAAGATCAAAACTAATCCTTTTAATCCTATCTAAGCATTCTAATATATGAGCCTATTGGGACCATTTTTTTAAAATATATTTATTTATTTATTTATTTATTTATTTATTTATTTATTTATTTATTTATTATGTATACAGTATTATGTCTGTGTGTATGTCTGCAGGCCAGAAGAGGGCACCAGACCCCATTACAGATGGTTGTGAGCCACCATGTGGTTGCTGGGAATTGAACTCAGGACCTTTGGAAGAGCAGGCAATGCTCTTAACCACTGAGCCATCTCTCCAGCCCCCTGGGGCCATTCTTATTCCAGCCCCTTTATTCAAACATACAACAGAAGGCAAGAACTCTTATCTTGAGCTCTGACTATTTTTTGTTTTATTGAAACAAGTTCTCATTCTGTAGCCCACACTTACCTAGAATTCACTAGGTTGCCAAGGTTGGCCTCAACTCACTATGCCTCATGGTGCCTAAGATTATAGGTGTGTGCTACCATGCCTAGCGAGGCAATGTAAGATTATAGGTGTGGGGCTGGAGAGATGGCTCAAGGTTGAGAGCACTGATTGCTCTTCAGAGGTCCTGAGTTCAATTCTCAGCGAACACATGGTGCCTCACAACCACCTATAATTAGGTCTGGTGCCCTTTTCTGACATGCCAGCAGAACAGTGTACATAATAAATAAATAAATCTTTTAAAAAAATTATAGGTGTGTGCCACTATGCCTGGTGAGGCCCTGTCCGTTCCCCCCTCCCCCGACCTTCCACCATGTTAATTTTCCATGTTTTGAGGTTTTATTCAGTAAGGATCTATTTACTATAACAATGTGAAACCAGGCAGTGGTAGTGAATGCCTTTAATCCCAGCACTCAGGAGGCAGAGGCAGATGGATCTCTGAATTCGAGGCCACCCTGTCTACAAGAGCTAGTGCTAGTACAGGTGCCAAGCTACAGAGAAACACTGTCTCAAGGGAGGGAAGAAGGGAGGGAGGGAGGGAAGGAAGGAAGGAAGGAAGGAAGGAAGGAAGGAAGGAAGGAAGGAAGGAAGGAAGGAAGGTGTGAATTGATTATTATTTCCAGTGACTGTCTAGAAGTATTTTGGCTGCTGTGTTAAAGATTTACAGTCTGGGCTAGAATAGACAAATTCCAGTTTTGCATTTCCACATTGGAAGCAATCCTGCCAGGTTCACAGAGTTTCTAATTTCGCAATGGTTCTTCAGCTCCATCTCAGGCTATAAAGACAGCGCTGTGGTCAGGTCGGCAGCACCCTGCTCTCAGCACTCAGGAGGTAGAGATAGGAGGAACGTGGCAAGTTGGAAGTCATTCTGCTCTGCACACTGAGTTCTCAGATAGCCAGGGCTACAGAGTGAGAGGCTTATCTAACAAAAACCTTGAGTTGCTCTGCTTAGTCCTCAGTGGTTTTGGAAAGTCTTAGGACAGTGTCTTAGAAGCTTTACCAAGTTTGTTATCTCGTGACCCGGTAATTCCATTCTCCAGAATTTATTCATGGATGTGTGCGGGGTGTAATCTCCTAAATGCTTATTAAAGCGTGCATGTGAGGAGAAACGTTGAGGAGAATCCCAGAAAGCCTCATAATACAGAAATGGCTGGCTATAATATGTTCATTTGTTAGAATCCTCACAAGACATGTTGCAGAGTCCTGATGTCATGGTGTTGGCAATATGGCTGTGTTGCTTAGACTTACCTCAGACTCCTGCTGTAGCCTCTTGAATAGCTGAGATATACTGGTGAGCATCACTGCACCCAGTTTGGGCAATATATGAGAACCTAAGATGGCAGAAGTAAAACACATGGTGGGTCACACTGAAGTGTTGTAGATGAAATGACAGGGACATAGCTCACTAGACAGTGTCTGTGCAGGGAGCCTTAGGCTCAATCCTCAGCACCAAATAAAATGTCATAGAGACTTGTCTGTGATCGTGGCACATGGGAGGTAGAAGCAGGTAATTCCGAAGTATAGAAGGAAGTTTTTGTCCCACCTGGTCCTGCAGCCATTCAGTCCCAAAGAACCACACAGGGGCTTATATTTATAAACTTTTTGGCCTATTGCTCAAGCTTATTATTAACTAACTCCTACACATAAATTAGCCCATAATTCTTATCTATGTTTAGCCATGTGGCATGGTTCCTTTTCTCAGTAAGGCATTCTCATCTTGCTTCCTCTGTGTCTTGCTGGCGACTGCCTGCCTTTGCTCTTCCTAGAAATCTCTTAGTCTGTTTGCCTCACCTATACTTCCTGGCCAAACAGCATTTTATTAAACTAATATGAGTGACAAATCTTTACAGTGTATAAGAATATTATCCCACAGCATTCCCCCCTTTTTAAAAGATTTATTTATTATGTGTACAACATTCTGTCTCCATGTATGCCTACAAGCCAGAAGAAGGCACCAGATCTCATTGTAGATGGCTGTGAGCCACCATGTAGTTGCTGGGTATTGAACTCAGGACCTCTAGAAGAGCAGCCAGTACTCTTAACCTCTGAACCATCTCTCCAGGCCCCTTTTTCTCCTCAGCAGTCAAACAATTCAAAGACAACACAATAACATACACTATCCAGACTCTGTATATTTTCCATGTTTACGTATCTTTTTTTTTTACTCTATTTCTTTTATTTTTATTTTTTAATTTTTGAGTTTTTTTTTTTTAATTTGTTATGTATATGGTGTTCTGTCTGTCTGTATGCTTGCTGGCCAGAAGAGGGCACCAGATCTCATTACAGATGGCTGTGAGCCACCATGTGGTTACTGGACCTCCAGAACAGTCAGTGCTCTTAACCTCTGAGCTATCTCTCCAGCCCTAATTTTTGGTTTGTTGAGACAGAGTTTCTCTGTGTATCTTTGGCTGTCCTGGAACTCACTCTGTAGACTAGATTGGCCTCAAGCTCACAGAGATCTGCCTGCCTCTGCCTCCCAAGTACTGGGATTAAAGGCATGTGCCACCATACCCGAATACTCTTATTTTTTTTTTTGTTGTTGTTGTTTTTTAGTTTTTCAAGACAGGATTTCTCTGTAGCTTTTGGAGCCTGTCCTGGCACTAGCTTTTGTAGACCAGGCTGGCCTCGAACTCACAGAGATCTGCCTGCCTCTGCCTCCCGAGTGCTGGGATTACCGAATACTCTTTTTTTAAGGACTTTCTCTGTCCTTTTTCTTTTCTCTTCCAAGCCTATGTATATTTTTAAATACATTGTAAACCGTTTTGAGGTTTTTTTTTTTTTCATCTGAATCTGTCCTTACCATATTTCTCTCTTTTTCTGAGCACATGAGTTTTTATAGTCTGCTAAACAGCACACCTAGGATTAAAGCTGCAGCTTTGGTGGCTGTCTCCACCCCATTCCTTAGCTTTCTGAGAGTCTAGCTCCATGGCGGAGGTATTGGCAGCAATCACATTTATTGCCACATCTCTGGAGTTTCTAGGTCCATGCCACCACCAAGAAGCCTGATGCCAGTTGATCATAAACAGCACTTTAGTGTTTGATGGCAGAGTCTTCAGAGTATACAAGAGCATTATCCCACAGCACAGAATTTCAAGGTCATTTTAAGTAAAATGTGGAGTTTGAGGCTAGCTTGAGCTACATGAGACTTTTTCAAAAACCAAACAATGGGCTTTAGAGATGGTTCAGCATTGAGCAGAGTATTATTCTTGCAGAGGACCAGAGTTTGTTTCCATCATGTATATAGGTATTGAGACGAGATCTCATATAGCCTAGGCCAACTTTGAACTTGCTATATAACTGAAGCTAACCTCGAACTTGTGAATCCTCTTGTTTCTCCATGGGCATGGGAAACTATACCAAGGATATGTATCTTTTTTTTTTTTTAAGATTTATTTATTTATTATGTATACAACATTCCTTCCGTGTATGTTTGTATGCTAGAAGAGGGCACCAGATCTCATTATAGATGGTTGTGAGCCACCATGTGGTTGCTGGGAATTGAACTCAGGACCTTTGGAGGAGCAGGCAATGCTCTTAACCACTGAGCCATCTCTCCAGCCCCCAAGGATATGTATCTTGCTTAAAATGCTTAAATAAGACCTAGCATGGTGGCACCAAAAAAAAAAAAAAATTGAATCTGAATCTCTAAATACATTTGTAAACATTTCTAGGAAAGATTTGACGACCTTGTTCCAACAGAGTTTGAGAATTTCTTAACTAGCTTTTAGGTCTTTAGGAGATAGGAGTCTTATTTTATTTTATCATTGGAATTAAAATATACATTGAATACCTGTCTGGTTTCTTTTTTTGTAAGTATTTATTATGTATACAGTGTTCTACCTCCGTGCATGCTTGCATGCCAGAAGAGGGCACCAGATCTAATTGTAGATGGTTGTGAGCCACCATGTGGTTGCTGGGAATTGAACTCAGGACCTCTGGAAGAGCAGTCAGTGCTCTTAACCCTCTGAGCCATCTCTCCAGCTTCCTTTCTAGTTTCTTAAAACAAAATCAAACATAAAAACTCCTGGCCAGACATTGTGGCATGCGCCTTTAATCCTAACACTCAGAAGGCATAGGCAGGTGGATCTCTGTGAGTTTGAGGCCAAACTGGTCTAAACAGTGAGTTCCACAACAGCCAGGATTGTTACACAGAGAAACCCTGTCTCGAAAAACAAAAACCTCCTTGGAGATACTTCTTATCTAGCCCCTCACCTGTTCTGTCTCTCCTGTTCTCTCTCTCTATATATTTTTTGAGGCAAGGTTTCAGTGTGTAGCCTTGGCTGACCTGAAACTTACTAGATAGACTAGTCTAGCCTGGAACTCAGAGAGAGAGACCTACCTCTGCCTCCTAACTGCTGTGATTAAAGGAGTTTCATCTGTGTTCTTCCCCTCCCCAAGATAAGGTTTCTCTGTGTAGCCCTGGCTGTCATGGAATTTGCTCTGCAGAATAGGCTGGCCTCAAACTTAGAGATCCATCTGCCTCTGCTTCTGCCTCCTGAGTGCATGCATGCCCCACCACACCCAGCTCTGTACTCTCTTGATGCTTTAAGTCAGACAGGTTTTGTGTAGTGTCTGCTGACCTCAGAGCAGGGAGCTATTTCTGTAATCTGTTGCAGAAGTATAATGAACTAAAGTTCTAGACTGACTAAGCCTCACATGCATGAGACACTGGGTTTGAGTCTAGGCAGTAGAGTGGGGTATCTGATTAAGTAGGCACATCAGATTTAGTGTTTCTGAGAAGTCCCTAGAGGCTTAACCGAACTGTGCCCTTACTCAATATGTGTCTTTATAATTCCTGCACTCAGAAGGCTTAGGCAGGAGGATTGCTGGGAGTTTGAAACCAGACTGGGCTCTATGGTAAAACCTTTTGTCTTAAAAAGACAGGGGAGAAAGAAAGATTCCAGAAACTCACAGCAGGGTTTTGATATTTTTCTTGCTGACTCTTCTCTCCTCTCAGCCCTGAGTACTCCCTCTTTGTCGGGGACCTGACCCCAGACGTGGATGATGGCATGCTGTATGAGTTCTTTGTCAAAGTCTACCCCTCCTGTCGGGGAGGCAAGGTGGTTTTGGACCAGACAGGCGTGTCTAAGTAAGGCCTTACTGCTATTTATGTTTACTTTGTTCAGCATTCTTACCTCCTGGGGGGACGGATCAGAGACACCAAGGAGGGTGGTGGCCCTCGAGCTCAGCTTCATCACTGACAAGGGAATGTGTACTAGACAAGTTACAGATTCTCACTGTTTCCTAATCTATAAATTGAAGCAATATTATATGATTGACATAAGGATTAGAGGAACTATGAATAGCTGGGTTTTGTATTTATTTCTGTTAATATGGCTTTCTGTGTAGTTAAAAATACTATTCTTTAGCATAGTGTGGCCCTGCACACCTATATTCCCAGAACTTGGGTAGTGGATGCAGGAGGCTCAGAAAATCAAGGCCATTCATCTTTTATGAATACATAGTGAGTTCAAGGCCAGCCTGGGCTACACAAGGGTCTCTGTTTTTGTTTTTCAAGACAGAGTTTCTCCCTGTAGCCCTGGCTGTCCTTGAACTCTCTCTGTAGACCAGGATGGCCTCTAACTCAGAGATTCACCTGCCTCTGCCTCCCCAGTGCTGAGATTAATGGCGTGCACCACCGCCCGGCTGAGACCTTCTTAATGCTCACCCATCCACCCCCACAAAAGAAAAGAAAAAGGAGGGTTAAGTTTTCCGTTTTGAAATGGAGAGACCTGTCAACACTTGGAAGGCGAAAAAAAGCTAAGGATTTTGAACTCAAGCCAGCCTGAGCTACACAGCAAGACCCTACCTCAAACAAAACAAGAAAAATGAAGCTAGACTTGTTGGCACAGGTCTATAATCCCAACTGCCCAGCTGAGGCAGCAAGATTGCAAATTCAGGGTCTTTGTGTGCTGTGCAGTGAGTTTAAGACCAGTGTAGGCAACTTAGCAAAACCCTGCCTCAAAAAAATAAATAAAAGTCCATAACCTAGTGTACAGAGCAAGTTCCAGGAGAGATGCAGAGCTACACGTAGTAACCTGTCTTAAAAAAAAAACAGACAAACAGTCAAGGGGGCTAGGGATATGGCTCAGTAGTTAACAGCACTAGTCATTTTTTCAGAGGACCTGGGTTCAATTCCTGGCCCCTCATGACAGCTCACAAGTATCTGTAACTCCAGTTCTAGGAGACCTGACACCTTCATATGGACACAGGCAAAAACATCAATGCTCCTGAAATAAAAATAATTAAAAAATAAAAATAGATACAACTAAATGCTAAGATGTAGCTAAGTATTGGAGAGTTTGCTTAGCATGCACAAGGTTCCGAGTTTGGTTTCCCCACTCAAAAGAAAAGAAGGTACTTTTTTTTTTTTTCAATTCTTTGCTGTGCATGGGATTGAACCCAGCCATATCCCACCATTCCAAGAAAGGCTTGTTCTTTTTGTATTTGTACTAGATGTACACCCAGGTACTTAATGTACTAAGCTAATGCCCTACCACAGAGCCACTTCGTCGGTCCTGACTCCCACCCCCCTCTTTCCCCATATGGTCATAGCTGGCTTCAAACTAACAATTCTCCACGCTCAGCTTCCCTAGTACCAGAATTACAGGCATGTGCCACCACCAGCAACTTACTCTTCGTCAGTTAAGGCATTTTACTCTGGCTTTAGGAGTTAAGTCTGCTTCTGTTGTGCGTGACTCTGGGCTAGTTATCAACCCTCTCTGAACTTTGTCTGCTCTTTAGTGCTGTGTAGTACTCCATGTGATGGGGTAACCTTGAAAGTGTCCTCAGCACCTTGTCCAGCAGATAGTACACACTGTTAATTGTAGATGTCATAAGCAGTCTGTAAGTTGTTTGACTTCAAGGAACAGGAACCAGGTCTGTCTGTAACTGCTTCCGGCATGCCTGATACAACCCTGCAGGTGTCTGAAAAGTCTGCAGGGCAAACTTCACCTCTCCCCACAACTACACAGTGCTAATAATGTTGCCTTCTCCTCGTTTGGGAAGGAGCCCCTGGATGAAGAGCATGGGGGCTGAACTGAAAGGAGGAGTTCCCACAAGTGTCAGGATCATACTGTGTGACCGTCCTTCCCTCTGGGTTTGACTCACTCTCCCTTTCTGGCCCTTTCCTTTTGTGCTCCAGCCCACCTCTTTTTCTACCCCCTTTTCCATGTTTCCTCTTGTAGGCTTCATCACTTTTGTGGTCTAAGTTGCGTGTTTTTTTTTTTTTTTCTTCTCCCTCTAGGGGCTATGGTTTTGTGAAATTCACAGATGAATTGGAACAGAAGCGAGCCTTGACGGAGTGCCAGGGAGCAGTGGGACTGGGGTCTAAACCTGTGCGGCTGAGTGTGGCCATCCCTAAAGCGTGAGTTCCGCAGAGAGCATAGGCCTGGACTAGCTAGCCTGCCCTGGGCCCTCTTTGGCTGTTTGCTGAGTCAGGACATCCATAAGTGCAACACACATCTGCAGAGAGGCAAATGTCACAGATACTATGTGCTTTGGCCAGGCTTGGCGTGGAGGATGAACTAGCGTAGCCACACACCCCTGGGAGCTAATAGCCGAGGGGTCAGACATTGAGAGCAGCAGTAGGGAGGCTGTTTTGTTCCATATCTTTGCTCTCTGGCCAGCTGCTGCTGTTGGGAAATTATCTATAGAGTTTGTTAGAATTAAAAAGAACAAAAACAAAAAACAGTGTCTGAAATACTGTGTATCTCAGGGCTAAAAAAGCTCTTGGAAATCCATGGTTTGTTTTGTTTTGATAGACAGGGTCTCTATGGTTACACCTAGCTTTGTTGTTTTGTTCTTTGAGACAGGGTCTTACTATCTCTATTCTTGGCTGGCCTGGAACTCACAGAGACCCAGCTGCCTCTGCCTCCAAGTGCTAGCATTAAAGGTGTACGCCATCACTCTTGGTCCAAGTGACATTTCTATCCTTCAGCCAATGCAGTATTTCTCAGCAGGTAGCGATTTCACTCACTAGGAGGCATTGGTGGCATCTGGATATATTTTGGGGTATTACAGCGTACTAGTGGCACCCAGGAGGTTATAGTGAGGAGTGCTGCTCCAGATGCTTCACTGCACCAGGCAGCCCTATAGCTGTGAATTAGGTGGTACACCCCTACCACTGGCAGAAGTAACAGGGGCAGCCTGGTCTATAGAAGGACTACCAGGATAGGTTCCAAAGCTACAGAGAAACCGGGTCTCAAAAAACCATAAACAAACAGATGTAACAGGGTCCAAGATATCTTGACCACAAAGTACAAGGGCAGCCAAACTTCAGGAGATGTCTTCCCAATGGTCGTTTTGAAACAACAGAGACTTGAATATTTGACAGGATTTCACCATGTAGCCCTGGCTGGTTTAGAACTTGCTGAGCAGAACAAAGCTGGCCTCAAACACAGAGATCTGCTTGCCTCTGCCTCCCAAGTGATTGATGGGATTAAAGCAAAGAAAGATTGTTTTGGGTTTTTTTGTTTGTTTTTGAGACAGGGTTTTTCTATGTAATCCTGGCTGTCCTGGAATTAGCTCTTGTAGACCAGGCTGACCTCAAACTCACAGAGATCTTCCTGACTCTGACTCCTGAGTGCTAGGGTTAAAGGTGTGCACCACCACTGCCTAGCAGAAAGATTGTTTTTAAAGGAAGTAACAGGTCCGGAGAGATGGGTTACTGGCTAAATAGCCCTTTCTGCTCCTTCAGAAGACCTGAGTTCAGCTTCCAACACCCACTTTAGACAGCTCACAGCCACCTATGACTTTAGCTCTCGGGCTCTGATACTTTTTTTCCGCCCTCCTTAGCATATCCCCACACAGAAACATACACATAAATAAAAACCTTTAAAAATCATAATTTCATTATTCTAAATTGGCTATAATGCCGTGAGTGGTGCCACACACCTGTAATTCCAGGACTCAGGCAATTGAGACAGGATCAGAGTTCCAGGTCAGCATTGCAAAGCCATGTGGAGTAAACAAGGAAACTAAAATTTTAAAAAGCAGTTTTCATATCTCAAGTTCCTTGTTCATAAACTATAAATTGAGGGGGCTGGAGAGACGGCTCAGAGGTTAAGAACACTTCCTGCTCTTCCAAAGGTCCTGAGTTCAATTCCCAGTAGCCACATGGTGGGTCACAACCACCTGTAATGAGATCTGGTGCTATCTTCTGGCCTTCAGGCTTACATGTAGACAGAGTACTGAGAATACTGTATACATAATAAATAAATAAATAAATCTTAAAAAAAAAACTATAAATTGAGTCAATTTACATGTGGTAGGATTTATTTCTCTTCTAACTATGGGATTTAAATACAGTGTCTTACACTCTGTTTTGAATTTCATAAGTAATATTCATTTTCCCCCTCAGTTTATTCCATATACATGCTTTTCCATGTAGCTGTACAGGTTTATGTGTGTGGTTTTGCTTACCTTTTGGTGGGAGTGAGGGTGCTGAGACTTCACAAATGCTAAGCACAGTTTCTACGACTGATGTATGCTCCTGTCTGATTTTATCTTAGATTATACTACAGCATATTCTTTTATATATATATAAGTTCTGTTCAACAATTCCTCTGTTGATCATTTTGACTGTTTCTGGTGTATTCCTGTTTGTTTGATAATTAGACTCGGGCAATATAGCTGTAAGCAGAAACCAAGGCCCATCTGCAAACTTCTGATTTGTTCTGTCTATTCCACACTGAACACAGTTGTTAGTAATCAGTGCCCACCCCTGAGGAGGTGCTCTCAGACCCTTGGGATAAGGAGAACTTCACGGTAATGCATAGGTGTCTGAAGGAAACACGACCAACCCCGTCCAGGAAGATGAACCTCCGGTACTGTCGAAAGAGTGATGGATACCCATAGATTTATTAAGGAGGGGTCAAAGAGGTGATTATTAGGTATGCCCAGCCCAGCACTTGGCAAGTAGGACTATCTGCCTATCACCTTCAGCGAAGCGTCCTGGGCTAGAGCTAGGTACTTCGGTGTTCAGCACTTGGATTTGCTTAGCACTAACTGAGTCCCTTTCACTAAGCAAGAGCTTGAAAGCGCTCAGTCAAGTGTTGCAGCCTTTGCAGTGCCTGGTATTCTCAGCTCCTACTAACAGCTGTTTCCTATCTGGGTTGATAAGCATCGCAATGGAATATACCAGTCACAAGGGCAGAAGTCACTCTCCTCTTGAGTCCGCCAACTGCATGGTGGAGTCAGCCCCTGGCCCTTGCATGTTTTTGGTATCCTAGGACTTTCTTAGCTCAAATTCATGAGTGGAAACCCCTTGTCATGTGCTTGAGCTTCTCCACACATGGTTTTTGTGTCTTTGAAAGCAGTGAAGCCTTTGTAGATTTGTGGATTTGGCAGTCTATCTTTGGTTGGAGTGGTGGTGGTTACAGTATAGGAAAAAGGAAGCTTCCCTGGTAGATTCTTCGGAATGTGAGAGTTAAACCTAGACCCGGCCTAGTGACTTGTCTTTGCTTTTCTTGTTTTGTTTTCTCCAGACCTGGTTTTTCCGTTTAGCTTTGGTGCCTGTCTTGGAACTAGCTCTTGTAGACCAGGTGGGCCTTGAACTCACAGAGATCCACCTGCCTCTGCCTCCCTAGTGCTGGGAATAAAAGCATGTACCACCACTGCCCAGCTTAAAATTTTTTTTAAGATTGATTTATTATGTATACAATGTTCTGCCTGCATGTATGCCTTCATGCCAGAAGAGGGTACCAGATCTCATTATAGATGGTTATGAGCTACCATGTGATTGCTGGGAATTGAACTCAGGACCTTTGAAAGAGCAGACAGTGCTTTTAACCACTGAGCCATCTCTACAACCACCGGATATTTTATTTTTTTATTTTACATGCATTGGTGTTTTGCCTACCTGCATGTATGTATGTGTGTATGAGGGTGTATAGCACCTGGAACTGGAATTACAGACAGTTGTGAGCTGCCATGTGATGCTGGAAATTGAACCAGAATCCTTTGGAAGAACAGTACTCTAACTGCTTGCAATCTCTCCAGCCCCATAAAGCCCGATTTCTTTTCTTTTTTTTTTTTTTTTTTTTTTTTTTTTTTTGGTTTTTCGAGACAGGGTTTCTCTGTAGCTTTGGTGCCTGTCCTGGAACTAGCTCTTATAGACCAGGCTGGTCTCGAACTCCCAGAGATCCACCTGTCTCTGACTCCCGAGTGTTAGGATTAAAAGCATGCGCCACCACCGCCCAGCCTAAAGCCTGATTTCTTATGTTATGTTTTCCTGAGCTTTTGCAACTGTCAGAGAACAGAGGCGCCCCCCCCCCCCCAGATCCTGAGAATGGGGCTGGAGAGATGGCTCAGAGGTTAAGAGCATTGAGCTGCTCTTCAGAGGTCCTGAGTTCACTTCTGAGCACCCACCTGGAGGCTCACAACCATCTGTAATGAGATCTAATGCCTCTTCTGGTGTGCACACATACATGCAAACAAAACACCCATATACATAAAATACATAAACAAATCTTTAAAAAAAATTGGTGGGGGGGGTCTTGAAGGCAGACAACCTGAGCAAAGAAAGGCTTGTATCCTAAGAGCGTGGATTCTGCAGGCAAACTGTCTGGGTTAATGTTTGTGCCTTATTCTTGTGACCCTGGACCAGACACTTAAATGCTCTGTCCTAGCCATCATCCTACAGCAGGGATGGGGATACAGAGTGTGGAGGGCAGCCGGAGGGAACCCTCCCAGAACACTTAGTGCAGTCTGTGGTCAAGGGAAATCCTCTTACATCTGATTTTGTTCCCCTTAAGGAGCCGTGTAAAGCCAGTTGAGTACAGCCAGATGTACAGTTACAGCTACAACCAGTATTACCAGCAGTACCAGAACTACTATGCCCAGTGGGGCTAAGACCAGAACACAGGCAGCTACAGCTACAGCTACCCACAGTATGGCTACACACAGAGCACCATGCAGGTAACACATTCGGAAACTCTTGGGTCTCATTTCCCCTCCAGGGACCACCATTTTCTACAGTGAAGTTGGTAGCAGGTTGGGGTTTTGAAAAAGTGGGGAAGGCTAGTGAGACCTAGCTCTGTTTGTCAAAAGTCAGCCAGAATTTTCTCAGGCTCCTCATTAGTCCTCTCCTCTCTTGACAGACATATGAAGAGGTTGGGGATGATGCCCTGGAAGGTAAGAGTCCCTTCAAGCTCCTGGTAGTTGTTTCAAGTGCCAGCTGTGGGCCCTCAACTAGATGTAGCTGTGGAGTTGGAGCCTGTCCTGGAACTCACTCTGCAGACCAGACTGGATTCGAACTCAGCAATCCGCCTGTCTCTGCCTCTTGAGTGCTGGGACTAAAGGCGTGCACCATCAACCACAGCCTGGCGAGAATGTGTGTGCTTTCTAATGGTGTGGACACACCCATGATTGCCAGGTTCTGCTTGTTATAATGAAATGAGTGCTGCTCCCAAGGAGCTTGTTACTTCCAAGCTGTGGCACTCTGCCCCACCCAGTGGCTCTGTAACATGGATACTGTTATATTTGTTGGTTTTTTATTGGTTTGTTCTTATTTCATGTGCGTTGGTGTTTTTCCTGCATGTAATGAGGGTCCCATATCCCCTAGAACTAGAGTTACAATTGTAAACTGTCCTTTGTAACAGCAGTCAGTGCTCTTAACCACTGAGCTATCTCTCTAGCACCTACTTTGTATTTGTTTACCAGTTTGTAAGATTAATTTTGTGTCTAAATTTCCTTCTGTTTTGGTTTGAGATATAAGGTCAGGCTGATCTTCACTGTGCTATGAATGACCTTGAACTCCTGTTCCTCCTGCTTTGCCTCCAGATACAAGCCGAGTTTTTAAAGGACAGGAGGCTGAGACTAGACAGATTCCTTTGCGGTCATGGTTAGGTTGGGTCTTATAGTGAGACTTTGTATCAAAAGAAATAGCAGGTGTGATTGTGCAGCCTTTAAATTTAACCCTTGCACGGCAAGGGTAGGGGCATCTCTATGAGTTCGAGGCTAGCCTAGTCTACATAGTGCCAGGAAATCTTGAGAAGAGAGAAGAGGGAAAAGACTAACTCAGCAGGGCTTTGTTCTCGGCATTGGATTCTAGTGCACCTCCTGGAGAGATCCTTTACTGTGGGCTTCTCTTTGTGAACATCTTTCATGTTCAACATGGTAAAGCACTTCTGTAGTCTCCTGGCTGGGGCACAATTGGGTTTGAGATTTACCTGGACTGCAGACCATCTCAGCACCCAGAATGTCTGTTTACGGGTCTTTAGACATTCTCGGTATTTCAGTGCAGGTGGAGTTACTCATGATCCATCTGCCTCCACTTCCCAAGAGTGAGGCTATAGGGATACCACCACACCTTGAAAATGTATGTTTGTGATTTCTGGAAGAGACGGAACTAGGTCCCCAATTCATGTGACCAGGCATTTCATCAGACATTGGTTTAGTTCTTAAGGTAATACTTTGGATTGATTCATTAAATGTTTTCCAAACCCACATTTTAAATCTGAGCAGAACAGAAAATCTAAGACAGACGTAGCTTTGTAAACTGGAAGAACCTGGCTGCTGTCACATGGTCCAAGTGATTTCCATCTAAGATGCACCGAGGCAGGAGCCTGAGTACTCCTTCCAGGTGGTTCTTTTGGCCTGCTTGACCTTGTCCTTTCCTTTTCCTGCAGACCCAGCGCCACAGCTGGATGTGACTGAGGCCAACAAGGAGTTCATGGAACAAAGTGAGGAACTGTATGATGCACTGATGGACTGTCACTGGCAGCCCCTGGACACTGTGTCTTCAGAGATCCCTGCCGTGTTGTAGCCAGGACACAAGGATCTGGGCTCTTTTTTTTTTTTTCTTTTTTGTGAAGCTTTTTGAAAATGGTTTACAAGATTTTAATAATTTACTCTTTTCTGACATTGTGAGCCACTTCTCTACTTGTTATTTGTTATTAAGCTGTAGTGAAAGACGTAGAAGGGAATTGTTCTAACAGGAGCTTGGTAGACCACGTGACATTTTTAAAACCCTTAGCTGGAGTACTAGAGAGAAGTGGCTTAGTGGCCAAGAGCACTGTTCTCCCAGAGGACCAAGTTGTTTCCAAGTCAGGCAGCTCTGCTACCCTGCATGAGACTCCAACTGCAAAGAACCCGAACATCCACTTCTGTAGATACCCAAACTCATTATGGCACAGGCTTGATGCTTCTGATTGCCTATCAGTTTTCCTACTAAAACAGGTAATTGTATTGCAAACCTGCAGTCTCAACCATGAATTGGCAGAATCAAGACTAAAACCAGCTAGGTAGTCCAGCACAGGTTAAAACCTCGTTTTAGAGGCTTTTCTAATTCTGGGATGTTTGTAAACATCTTTTTTAGATTGTGTTTCTCTGTACTGTATGTCATGGCACCTTGACAGTAAGTTAAGCCCAAGGCAGTCTTTTATTGGGACTTTTGCAGTCCCCATCACTAGCAACCATGGTACTACTCAGAGCAAGACAAGGGCTTTTTCCTTTTGCTGTTTCACCTGGCTTCTAGAGAGCTGGAGCACAACTGGCAGGGACACATGCAAATAAACCTCCAGTCTCAGAAACTGTCCAAGAGAACTGAAAATCTCAGTTGCTGTCCTGGGCTCAGTGGGCAACATCATTCACTTTCAGACACTGAATTTTGTTTAATCATTTTAAATTACAGAGAAAATACTTTCAAAGGTCTTTATTGACTCAATTACAAGTTAAATCCCAAAGCATTTCACTTCTTTTTCCAAAACAGTTTCTTTGTAGCCTTTACTGTCAGTGTGGGCTTCTGCTTGCTTCCAGGGAAGTCCTCTTCTTTTTTTCTGAAAAGGAAGTGTAAGTCTGTGTTAGTTCTGACCTCAGGCTCACTCCCCAGAGCTCAGCCTTTTCCTAAGAACTGGTCTCAGTCCCATATCCGCATTTCTCATCCATAGATGTCCACTCAGATTAGGTTTCATCCTAGACCAGTGTTTGAGCTCCCTGCATACTCCCTCACAATCCATCTCCCCATCTGCAGGAGTAGTGGATGATATAAGCGCATGGCTGCTTAGCAGAATGCACTCATGGCCCTCAGTGGGCAAATAGCAGCAAAGTCACAAGACAAGCACCTTTGTTCCTAAATGTGAGCAGCTAATGCAGCACACAGGCCAGACATGAATTACTAAAACGCTGAATTTTTACACACTTGAGCAACCTTCTGCTGTACTACTTAGGGACAGAGTGCATAAGAGCCCTTAACTTACCCAACAAACTGTAGATGAGATCATAGATGATGACCCCTTCATTGGTTACATGGTTCTAAAAAAATAAAATACATCATTAGAGACCCAGGCACAATGCTACAGCTGCCCAGATACATATACAATTCTCAGGCTATCCCATTTTACAAGAGCCGAGGCATGTATGAATCTGACCCAATGCTCTATAGCAGACTATATTGCTGTGAGGCCAGCTTCGGTCTGCTCTTCCTCCTTTACGACCACCAAGACCAGCGTCAAGATCCGATGGGAAAGGGAACCGGAGGGTAAGGCTGTGTCAGACAACACCTTTACCTTAGTGACTGAGCAGAGGCAGACAGGCTGACTTCCCCAAATAAGAGCCTTGAGAAGAACCTGCAGAAGGGAAAGCTTTGTTGTGAATGTCCACGGAGACAACACTGTCCCAGATAGCAAGCAACCCCAGGAACAACATGTATAGGAAAGTCGAGTGGCAGCTGCAGGCACTGTGCTGGCCTGAGCTGTCAAAGTCTCTCCAGTTACTCTGGCATGCAGTTGGAGACCCCATGGCTACCACCAGCCACAGCCCTTGGAAACATGCTGTACCTCTCACCAGATCTCGGCTAACACCGCCACACTTACCAGGCCCTAGTGCTGCACAGCATCAGTACCGTCTGTCTTCATGGAGGCTCCATCAGGAACAGCTAAGATGAACGGCAACAATTATCCACGTATCGTATAGTCCTGCACCTGGTCACCAACTGGCCTTCTCATACAGGGAATGTGACCCATGAAGTGGCCACGTACCAGCCAGCAAACTACTTCCATAAGTACCATTCTAACTCCACACATTGAAGACAACATTCTTGTTGGACTGTAGCATACTTATGCTGATGCTCATGAAGATTTCTAGATACTTCTGAGAAATCACGAGGTGGAGCTGTCTTTTCCCAAAATGTTGCAGATCAGTTACTGTAAACAGAACCGCGACCGTCAAGGAAAACTTTCTCTGGGCCTCTTTTTGACCACAGCAGCTATGTAGAAGCGGCTGCAGCTTCGATAAGGGCCACGGGCACGGATTCGGGTTACAATACCTCACACCCACAAAACCACCTGGTTCACAAAATCCTAAATTACAGCTTTGACTACTACACACTTAAAAAAAAAAAATCCATGAGCTCGAAAGGCCAAAAGTTCAACACATGAAGTTACATTAGAGTAGGTTCTTGATTATAACGCAGCCTGTAACTCTTTAACTCCCTGTCTCCAGCCTCACACACACACACACACAAAAGGTATTAAGTAATTTATACCAGATGTCAGGGTTAAGTTTAAAATGGCCGTTTATGCAATCAGAAAGCGACAAAGTGGAGGTCTTAAACTCCTCCAAAAAAAATTTCTTAAAGGCTTGAGGGCTATGGGTGAAATATGGTTCACCTAGCACGTGCCGGAATCCAAAGTTTCGGCCGCAGCACCCGTAATCACTAGGGTAACTCCAAAAACCAGGAGACGGGTTAAGTCGCCAAAGGTCACAGCCTCTTCAGTTGGCGTCATTCCAATAACGTCATCGCACCCAAGCACTCATCCCCCTCAGCCCGCAAATGCTGTTACCACCAGGCCGATGGCCTCAATCACTCACCCGTCAAATGGCGCGGTATGCAGGCCGCGGACTACCACTACGCGAGCCGCCATCCTGGCCGCCTTGTTGGCCTCCACCGCCGAGACGGAGAAGGCCGGCTTCTCCGCGGCTCCCGCAGTCTTGGGTGCAGCAACCGGAGAAAACGTTCCGAGAGCGGCGAGTTGTGGAGGTGAGGAGGACGAAGTACATGACAACATACAAACAACAAGGCCGGCGCAGGAAGAAAGGACGAAACGCGGCCCGCAGCCATCTTATATATGCTCGCGCCTACGGACGCGCTTGCGCACTCTGCCTGCCGCATCGGCTCTCTGGGAAATGTAGTCCACGCACACTCCCGATCCTGTCCTGAGCCCGCCGAGCCTGGCCACAGCCAATGCATATTAAGTCTTTGAATTAATACGGATTTTAGAAAAGGCTCTCCTCACTAGGCAGTGGAGGCTCACGCGTTTAATCCCATCACTTGGGAGTCAGAGGCAGGCGGATCTCTGTCAGTTCGAGGCCAACCTGGCTCAGAGTGAGTTCCAGGACAACCAGAGCGACACAGAGAAACCCTGTTTCGAAAAATCAAACCCCCCAAAAAAAGTTCTTAGCTCTGAGAGTCTTGGGGTGCTCCAGTGGTCAAAAGGTTTCTTGAGGGAGGCTATCGAGGATTCATTATTTGTTCAAAACAAATATATAAATACCGTTTTCTGAACACCTGCTGTCTATGCTGGACCGATTATTCCGTCTCATTTTCATACAATACTGTGTACTGGCTTCTTGATGTGCCCTTTGTTCTGGAAACTGAAGAATGGATCTCAGCTAGCAAAGTAGAATACACTCAGAATGGCTCAGACACTCCAAGTCACGACCATGTGCTGTCTTTTGCTCGATGGATGGATGAATGAATGAATGAGCATAAATGCACTGGGGTGTAGCTCAGGTGGTGAAGGGCATGAAATCCTGGGTTTAATCCCTCATGCCTCAGACCCTAGTCTGTAATCCCAGAACTGGGGAGGTGGAAGGAGGATTAAATTGGTAATGTAAGGTTTGGTTGGTTGATTTTTTTGTTTGTTTGTTTTGTTTTTGAGTTAGGGTTTTCTTTTCGTAGCTCTGCCTGTCCTGAAATTTACTAAGTAGACCAGACTGGCCTTGAACTCACAAAGATCCACCTGCCTCTCCCTCTCAGTGCTGGAATTGGTTAAGATACTTTTTTTTTTTTCGAGACAGGGTTTCTCTGTGGTTTTGGAGCCTGTCCTGAAACTAGCTCTGTAGACCAGGCTGGTCTCGAACTCACAGAGATCCACCTGCCTCTGCCTCCCAAGTGCTGGGATTAAAGGCCTGCGCCACCACTGCCCAGCAGTTAAGATAAATTCTGAGGCCAGTCAGGGCTACCTGAGGCCCTGTGTCAAAGGAAACACACACACACACACACACACACACACACACACACACACAGAAGCAGGTGGATCTCTGAGTTCGAGGCCAGCTTGGTCTACGGAGGAAGTTCCAGGACAGGCTCCAAAGCTATGCAGACAAACCTTGTTTCAAAAAAAGGAGTGGGGGAGGGGAGGAAGATTGGGTGGGGAGAGAAGAAGAAAAGTAAGAAATTGTTGCCAAGAATTAAGTAACCACTCTGTGGTGCCGTTACTTTGTAAATTTGTGTCCTTCCATTAATTTATTTATTCCGTGAGGGGAAGGTAGTTTATTTAGTTTACATTTCCAGGCTCTTGTCATCACAGCGTGGCAGTCCCAGGGCAGGGGCTTGAGGGCTGTGGCAGTCCCAGCGGCAGGGGCTTGAGGGCCGCTCACATCACGTCCACAATAGATTGGCGACTTTTTCTTGGTTGGATTTTTGCTTCTGTTTTTACACAACATCTCACTAGTTTGCCCAGGCAGGCCTCAGTCTCCCAAGTAGCTCAGGTTACAAACCTATCACCAGGCCCCCTTTTTCTCCCTCCCTAATATCAGGGAGCATACATTGACCTTACTATCTACTGCCCCTAACTTTATCCTTCAGCTCCTATATACACCTGAAGAAACAGGTTTCAGCCTGTGGAGATGCCTCAATGAAAGTGTGAGGACCACAGTGTGGATCCTAGCACCCACATAGCAAGCTAGGAATGTTAGCTTGTGGGGGTGTTTTTTGTTTTGTTTTAAAATTTATTTATTGCGAATATAGTGTTCTGTCTGCATTTTGCCTGTACACCAGAAGGGGCAACAGATCTCATTATAGATGGTTATGAGCCACCATGTGGCTGCTGGGAATTAAACTCAGGACCTCTAGAAGAACAGTCACCTCTGAGTCACCTCACCAGCCCCTGTGTGTTTTTTTGAGATAGGGTCTCACTATGTAGTCCTGGCTGACCTGGAATTTGACATGTAGGCCAGCATGGACTCGAACTCACAGAGACCCGCCTGCCTCTGCCTCCCAAGTGTTGAGATTAAAAACCTGCATTAAGGGGTTGGAGAGATGGCTCAGAGGTTAAGAGCGCTGACTACTCTTCCAGAGGTCCTGAGTTCAATTCCCAGCACCTACACGGTGGCTCACAGTCACCTATAATGAAAATATACAGGTAGGAGCTCAGCAACGCACTTCTGAGACCTGAGTTCAACGGCCAGAAACCACATAAGGTAGAGAGAAATGACCACAAAATTGTCCACTAG